GGCAGGGGGGGCAACTTGGGGCACAGCCCGGGTAGAAGCATCAGGGAGGGGGAGGAGCTGGAGCCCCCTGAGCTGTGGTTCTGTCACATCCAAATCCCCACGGCCCCAGTTTTGGGCAAGAAGCCCTGCCAGGGTGTGGGCTGAGAAACGTGGGCCTTCAAAAGGAGCTTCTGCTCCCAGGGACCCCCAGAAAGGGACCTCTTGCCCTGCAGGGAGTACTCAGGGGGTGCTTAGCTCTGCTCAGGACCTTGTCCCAGCTTAGGAAGGAGCCAGAGCAGATCCTGAGGGTGCTGGGGCAGCCAGGCTGGGAAGCTGGGAGGCTCCAGAGGTGCTGTGTGTTCAGTGCTGAGATTTCATGGAGAGTTTAACCCTCATGCTGGTCCAAGGTGGCTTTTTGGGGGGGGAAGACTGGTCTGGGCAGAGCCTGGCAGAGGGGGCAGAGCTTTGCAGAGGGGCTCAGGGCTCCTGCCCCTCACGCTGCTTCCTCAGTGTTGGATTTCCTGGTGCTGAGTGAGGAGGGATTTGTGGAGGCAGGTCCTGGAGCAGGTCGAGGTGCATTCCTGGGGTGAGGGCTGAGCCTCCTGCAGCACAACCACGCCCAGACCCCAAAGTGGCTGAAAAGGAAAATAAAAATGTCCCTGTGCCTGGGTGGGATGGAGCTGGTTGGGTAGGGATGGATCTGCTGGAGAGCAAAGGCTGGAGGGATGGTCCTCAGCTCCCTCCTCTTGGTGCTGTGTCTGGGGGGGCTGCAGGATTGAGACCACGTGTGAATCCAGTTCTGCTCAACTCTGGATGAGGCACTTTGACCATCTTCTCCCAGACTAGTACCCAGCACTGGCCTTGGAGTGTGGGGAGAGAACTGGGAAGGGTTAGAGGAGTCAGAGCCTGGTTTGAGATCAGTCACCAAGGGAGGAGCTTGGGGTGGTGGCAGCATTTTGGGTTGTAAAGCTAAATATCCAAGTGCTGTGCCCAAAAAGCGCTGAGCTCCTCTTTTTGGTGGTGAGACACTGGAACAGGTTGCCCAGGGAAGCTGTGGATTCTCTCCCTCGACTTGGCTCTTGTGAGAACCTTCCCCCTGCAGGGCTGGGGCCAGTTCTGGAGACCCCAACATCAGAAGGACATGGAGCTCCTGGAGAGAGTCCAGAGGAGGCCACAGAGATGATGGGAGGGCTGGAGCAGCTCTGCTCTGGAGCCAGGCTGGGAGAGTTGGGGTGTTCAGCCTGGAGAAGAGAAGGCTCCAGGGAGACCTTAGAGCAGCTTCCAGTGCCTGAAGGGGCTCCAGGAAAGCTGGGGAGGGGCTTGGGACAAGGGCAGGGAGGGATGGGATGAGGGGGATGGATGAAAACTGGGAGAGGGAGATCTGGGTTGGACATGAGAAGGAAATTCCCCCTGGCAGTGTTGAAGGGCAGGTTGGATGGGGCTTGGAGCAGCCTGGGCTGGTGGGAGGTGTCCCTGCCCATGCAGGGGGTTGGGACTGGATGATCTCTGAGGTCCCTTCTAACCCAAACCAGTCAGGAACTCTCAGATTCTCCCAATTCCCTCCCTCAGGACCTGGTCTGGCCCAGGAATCCCACGTCCCTCAGGAGGGGGGGGGTTCCTCCCAAGCCCTGGGGACACCTCCCTGCTGCTGCTTCTGATGCTCTTGCCTTTTCCCTCCCCCCAGCCCTGCCCGGGGTGGATGTGTGTCACCATGCCCGACCACGCCGACGTCGCCCTCCCCCCCCAGGAGCGGGTCCGGAGGCTGATCCAGGCGGGAAGCTCCGTGGAAGTGAACGAGGAGGTCCCGGCGCGGCGCTACTACCGCTCGGGGGTGGAGATCCTGCGCATGGCGGCCGTGTACGGGGAGGAGGGCAACCTGGAGAGGGCCTTCATCCTCTACAACAAGTACATCACGTAAGGGCTGGGGGCACACGGGGCTGGGAGGGGCTGGGAGGGAACGGGCCTGAAGGATCATCCAGATCCAACCCCCAGGGATGGGGCAGCCACAGCTTCCCTGCCCAACCTGGGCCAGGCTCTCACCACCCTCACAACAAAGAATTCCTTCCTCATCTCCAACCTCCAGCTCTCTCTCCCACTTTTCATCCATCCCCCTCATCCCATCCCTCCCTGCCCTTGTCCCAAGCCCCTCCCCAGCTTTCCTGGAGCCCCTTCAGGCACTGGAAGCTGCTCTAAGGTCTCCCTGGAGCCTTCCCTTCTCCAGGCTGAACACCCCAACTCTCTTTTGCACCCAAACCATTCCATGATTCTTTGATAATTCCAAACCAAGCTGTACAAATCGCCTGCAGGGTTGAGCAGCATTTTTGGGGTTTTGCCTCCCACATTTCCAACATCTCCCTGTCAGCCCAACCACCTGTATATTCCCACTTCTGTGGGAACTAGAATTCAAAAGGAGCAGAACTCTGGACAAAACCCAGTTCTTCCAGCTCAGCAAGACCTCAGCATGTCCAGACATGCTCAAAATATACAACCCAAACCCCACGTATGGACAGGAGTCTCCTGGACCTGCCAGTGCCTGAAGGGGCTCCAGGAAAGCTGGGGAGGGACTTGGGACAAGGGCAGGGAGGGATGGGATGAGGGGGATGGATGAAAACTGGGAGAGGGAGATGGAGGTTGGAGATGAGGAGGGAATTCTTTGGTGTGAGGGTGGTGAGAGCCTGGCCCAGGTTGGGCAGGGAAGCTGTGGCTGCCCCATCCCTGGGGGTGTTGAAGGGCAGGTTGGATGGGGCTTGGAGCAGCCTGGGCTGGTGGGAGGTGTCCCTGCCCATGCAGGGGGTTGGAACTGGGTGGTCTTCAATGCTTCTTCCAACCCAAAGCATTCCATGATGGTTCTGTGATCCAAACTGTCTGGTGAGGTTTCTGGGAGCTGAGCACTCTTCTGGGAAGCCCCAGATCATGGTGTCAGGTCTGGGTGGTGTCTCAGCAACCCTGCAGTAAAAGCAGAACACACGTGAGGCCTCTCATTGTTGCTCTGCCTTTTGGTGCTGAAAACTGATCCTCAGGAAAACATCCCAGCAGCTCAGAGTGTCCTGTTCCTGGAGGATTTTTGGCCAAAATCTTGTCCCTCCCTCTTTCACCCAGTGTCACCTGCTGTGGTCCCTGCTGTGCCCACACTACCCACTGATCCAGATCCTGTCTGGCATCTCTCTGGGCATTTTCTCTCCCTGTCCCCTTGAGCAGGTTTCCTGCCCCTTAATTCCAACACATTTTTCTCTGATTACCTTCTCTTCCCTCCTGACACTTCCTGAGCTTTTATGGGCATCCTAGAGAGTGTAAATCCCTTGGGAAGGTTTCCAGGCTGGTTACGTAGCTGAGGCTGAAGGAGAAACTCTTTAACTAAACAAATGAACTTCAAGCACCTTGGCTGTTGGTCTGTAGCAGTGGTGGTGCTGGTGTGTCTTCTCTCCAGCAGCTTTAGATGATCCTGGTATTTAGGTTAGTTTGGCTGCTGGGAAAGTGAAAAACCTGCCCTCTGAGGTGGGATTTCTCATGAACATTCCCCTCTGCTCTGGTGTGACCCCCCCTGCAGGGCTGGGGCCAGTTCTGGAGACCCCAACATCAGAAGGACATGGAGATCATGGGAAGAGTCCAGAGGAGCCACGGAGATGATGGGAGGGCTGGAGCAGCTCTGCTCTGGAGCCAGGCTGGGAGTTGGGGTGTTCAGCCTGGAGAAGAGAAGGCTCCAGGGAGACCTTAGAGCAGCTTCCAGTGCCTGAAGGGGCTCCAGGAAAGCTGGGGAGGAACTTGGGACAAGTGCAGGGAGGGATGGGATGAGGGGGATGGATGAAACCTGGGAGAGGGAGCTGGAGGTTGGAGATGAGGAGGGAATTCTTTGTTGTGAGGGTGGTGAGAGCCTGGCCCAGGTTGCCCAGGGAGCTGTGGCTGCCCCATCCCTGGGGGTGTTGAAGGGCAGGTTGGATGGGGCTTGGAGCAGCCTGGGCTGGTGGGAGGTGTCCCTGGCCATGCAGGGGGTTGGATCTAGATGATCTTTCAGGTCCTTTCCAACCCAAACCAGTCCATGATAACCAGGCTGCTCTCCTGGTGTCCACATGTGAAACCCAAGTGCAGAGCAGCCAAATGCCCTGCAGGGCACTGAGCAGGGAACCCGGGGCCAGACAGTTTTCCTCCATTCCCCCTTTTCCTGTCACTAGAAGCATTTGTCCAAAGTCCCTTCCCACCTTTCTTGGAGCTTCTTCACACCCCAGGCTGGACTTCTGACACGTTTCTTGTCACCTTGTGAAACAGCTGCTTTGCTTGTCTTCTCCCCCAGCTGCTCCTGCCTTGATCTGGGCGGGTGTTTGTCCTTGTGTTCCCATCAGACACACTAGGCTTGATTTCCCTAGAGGCAAATAAGGAAGGGAAAAAAAACCCAGACCCATCGATTTTGGGTGGTGTTTGAGCTCCTGTGTGGCTGAGCTGCTGGGATTGTCTCCAGGGGTCCCTGGAGGGTGTTGCAGGGGACAGGAGGGACGTGGCCTTGGCACGTGTGCTGTGGCAGCACTTAAAAATAGCCCCTGCTGAGGCTGCTGGTGCCAGACAGCTGCTGCTCAGCCTGGGCTGGGAGCAGGCAGAGGTTTGGACAAGCCCAGAGCTCCTGGCCATGGCAACTGCAGGTTCCAGTCTTGCCAGACCTCAGCTGGGCTGTCCCTGGGAAAGAGGAGCTGTTCCTGCCCAGTCTCCAGCTCCAGCCTCTGGCCCCAACCTCCCCAAGTCCTCCTCTCATCCCTCTGCCCACTTTTTCTCCCCCCACTTCCTGACTTGTGGAAACCCAGCTGCCTCTGCTGGTTTTTCCATCCTCCTCAGGCCAGCATCTGTTCTTAATGCTTCTTAATTAATCCCTTCCATTTGAATTTGCTGGCTGCTGGCAGCCAGCTCAGCCTTGTTTTGTCTCCCTGACACACTGACCTATTTCACAACCCCCAGCCAGGACATCACTGGGTGTTCCCGATGGAGCAGCAGCTTCTCTGTGGCTCCAGGCTGTGACGTGGCTGCTCTGATCCCACACTCCTTGGCAGGAGCACCCTCACCCCCTTGCTGGGAACCAGGAGCACTTGGGGTTGCCCAAAGCCCTCCCTTTTCCCAGAGGACTCAGCTGTGAGGCAGGGGGGTTGCTCACCACACACACTCGGGCTTCTCAGCAGGAGGAGGGTCCTGACTCTGCCCCTGGAGCTTTTCCCACTGAGCTCTGCTGGGTTGGCTTGTGCTGCTCCTGGGGGCACAGTCTGAGCCCTCACTTCCCTTATTGCTTGTGCCTGGGGATGTGGCTGCTCCCCAAAGGAGCTGGAGAGCATCTCTGTGGAGACCTTCCTCCCTCCCTCCCATGGAGACCTTCCTTGAGACCTTCCTCCCTTCCATGGAGACCTTCCTCCCTTCCATGGAGACCTTCCTCCCTTCCATGGAGACCTTCCTCCCTTCCATGGAGACCTTCCTTTGGAGCCTTCAGGCCCCACAAAGGGGGCAGGACTTCAGGAGGTGCCCATAGGCCCTGTGGCCCCTCAGGGTGAGTTCAGCTCCTCTTGCAGGGACAAGGAGTAGCAAAGCTCTCCAGGTACTGAGCACATTGGCAGTGGGTGCACCCCTGGGGAGAGACAGTTTGGGGGTGCCTCAAGCTTGGGGAGCCTCAGGGAGCTGAGCCAGAGGGAACTGCCCCATGTCTGGGGGCTTTTTCCCTGTTCTGGTGCTCCCAGTGCTGTTCCTCTCAGTCTTCCCTGTGTCCTGCAGAGCTCCCAGGTGGGGACAGTAGAGAAGCTGGAGATGAACCTGTTCATGCTGGGAACAGGGTGAGGATGTTGAGCTCAGTCTTGGTTTCCCTCCCAGAAATCCGCTCAGAAACAGCCCTGAAATGCTGCTCAGAGCTGCTTGCAGCTCACCTGCATGTTCCTCTTCCCAAGCTCTGAGGTCGTTCCCTTCATCTCTTGCACAAACTCTCTGATCCCCCACCCAGAAGGTCGGTGCTCACCTGAGTCAGCAGAGTCCTTCAGCTTCTGTCTTGTCCCCTTGGATGCTCACAGGGGGTGTGGGCAGGTGCCCAAGGACCTTCCTGGTGTCCTTGGTGGTTTAAATTGGCTTATTAATGTCTCTGTTCAAAACAAATGTGTTTGTCCCTGAGGATCATTCCAGGTGGAAGTAAAGTACAAGGTGCTCCCCTGGGACTGGGCTCTCCCTGTGCCACGAGGGAGGTTTTCCTGCAGGAAAGCAGACAACTCTCCTGCTTGTGGGCAGCACAGGGCCCAGGGAGGGGACAGGGCTGGAGGGGATTGGTCTGTACCCCCAAAATGCCACTTGCTGTGCCCCCCCATCCAGTTTCTCTCCTGTGTTCTCAGGCTCTTCATCGAGAAGCTGCCGCAGCACCGCGAGTACCGAACCGCGGTCATACCCGAGAAGAGGGAGACAGTGAGAGTGAGTAGCAGTGCCCAGGCCTGAACAGCTGCTGCTGGAATGTTCTGGGGTCACAGAGCTTGGGTTTTCATGGGATGAGTGATCCACACAGACACGGAGAAGCTTTGGCTTGACCAAGGAGTCCTGACCCCGTGGGAGTTATGGTTTGGGTTCTTCTCCCCCCGTGGTACTTGCCCTGGGTGGGTTGGGGTTGTCCCCTTTGCTTTCTCCTGAGCACTGGGCCAGCCTTTCTTCCCTGTTCAACTCCCTGCTTCTTAAACACCTCCTGGCTTTTTCCATGCATGGTGGCTGGATGCCCAGTGTCCTGGTCCTTGAGGGATCCTTGGAGGTTGCTCACAGCCCTGAGAAGCTCCCACTCTTCTGCTCAACACTGACCAGAAGAGCCAAGGACGTGGCTGCTTGAGCTCTGAGCAAGCAGATGGTTTCTTGCCTCTCTTCAGGTCTTGGTTCTTCTTGCCTTGGGGCCATCACAGGCTTCTGACTCTGTTTCCTCCCCTCAGAACCTGAAAGAAGTTGCCTTCCCCAGAGCTGAAGAGCTTAAGGAGGAGCTGTTAAAGAGGTACGCCAAGGACTATGCTAAGTACAAGGAGCAGAAGGTGAGTGAGAGGAGACTGGAGGTCTGTGCTCCTCAAACAAAAGCTTTGGAAGAGGGCAGGTCTTCAGGGCTCCCTGGGGGCTGTGAAATGGAACCTTTAGGGAGCCCCAGCTTTCAGCCTTGTCACCTGCAGCACAGGGCTGTCCCCATCGTGTCTCTGCTGCCACTGTGCAGGTGAACCTGCCATGGGTGTCCCTGCATCCTCCTTATGGGGCATCTGGGGGTGGTGGGAGCTGGGGCTGTTGGTTGGTTGGTTTTTCTCTTGCTCCCAATGTGAGGTCTTAGGATCCAGGAACTCAGCAGGCAGCTGCTGGCAGCGTGGGCGGGGATCTGGGGTTCTGTGGGCAAAGCAGAAAACTCTGAAAAGTGGGATTTTAGAGCTAGGATAGGGGAAAATCCACCTGGAATTCTGGTTCTGTGGAAGAGGGAGGGTAGGGCAGCAGTTCAACTGCCCTGGCCTACCTGGCTCTCCTGAGGGAAGTGCAGGTTTGGGCCTTGCAGGGTGAAGCTTCCATGCAGGGAGCACTGTTTGCTGGGCCCCTTTTGCAGACCCTCACAGAATTCCAGAATTGTTAGGGCTGGAAGGGATCTCTGGAGATGATCTAGTGCAACTGGAAGCACATCCCATGGGGCAGTCCCAGCTCCCTCAGCCTTTCCTCATCAGGAAGATGCTCCAATCCCCAAGCCATCTCTGTTCCCCTCCCCTGGACTCTCTCCAGCAGCTCCCTGTCTCTCTTGAACTGGGGAGCCCAGAACTGGTCCCAGTTCTCCAGCTGTGGCCTCACCAAGACAGACCAGAGGGGGAAGCAGCCTGGGATTGCTGAGGGTCCTGCCTGGGGCTGTTCCCTGGGTGCTGATGCCCCTGGTTGTGTTTCTCCTTACAGAGGGAGGAAGAAGAGGAATTTGCACGGAATTTGGCTTTGCAGCAGCAGCTGGAAGAGGAGAGGAACCGGGTGGCCCTGATGAAGCAGCAGCAGGCAGAGCAGGAGCAGTTCCACGCCTTCGAGGAGATGATTCGACGGCAGGAGCTGGAGAAGGAACGTCTCAGGATAGTGCAGGAGTTTGGAAAGCCAGAGCCAAGGCCTGAGGCTCTGGATGGACCTCTCATCCCTGGCGTGGAAAAGCCCCCGACAGACTTAATCCCAAAGGTTCCCATCTCTCCAGCTCACCCTGCAAGTCCCTCAGCAGGGACTGTCTCATCCAAACCTCCTGTTGTGGACAGGTCTTTGAAACCCAGCGCCTTGGGGGGCACAGAGAACAGTTAGTACCTCCCAGTGCTCCCTTCTCCCTCCCTGGGGCTGGGCCAAACTGGACAAGGAGGTGATCTGGCCAGGAGGCTTTTGGAAATGTCTGATTGTGGCTCCATCTTTTCTGGGGGTTTGGCCTCCCAGGTTGCTAGATGTTCTCCCTGTTGTCCAGTAAAGTTTTGCAGGGCTGGGGGAGAAGTTTCTCCTCCTGGGAATCACCCCTCCATGCTTCTCCAGCCCAGTTTCTCTGCTGGTCTGGAGCCTGCAGCCCATTTGGCTTTCCCAGATCCCAGCACTTGTTGGAGATTGGGGTTCAGTTCCTGGCTGGGCTGACTGAATTCTCCTGACCAAATTCTCCTGCCAAATATGGCTCCAAAATAGTGATTTGGACGTTTCCAAATGGCTGGTTCTTGACCAGTGACAAGTTTGCTTTAAATAACATTTTATGAGCTTGTGTGGCTTCATTTTCAGTAACAAAATACCAGGTTTTGGACAAACTCCTAAAGGTGCTTCTGTCTGTCTCTTTCCTTGTTCCTGAAGAGGTGGTGCCCTTCATAATATCCCAGTGACTCCATCTCTCTGGGGCTGCCATTGGAAGGGTGGACATTAGAGCAGTTCATGTTTCCAGCCTGATTTTTTTTTCAGTCTATTCCCTCCAGGAACTGCCCCAAGGGGCCATTTCTCCAGTGTCCCCAACTGTCCCTGTGCTCCTGCTCTCCCCACAGGTGCCAGCACCGACGCCCTTCGCCAGGTCATTGTCCCCAGGGAGCTGTGCCACAAGTTCCTCCAGCTGGCAGATGCCAACACGGTCCGGGGTGTGGAGACATGTGGGATCCTCTGTGGGAAGCTGGTGAGTTCATCATCCTCATGAAGCCCCTGGAAGTGGTGGCCCAGGAGCTTTAGATCAGGGTGCAGGAGCTTTGGGAATGGCCAGAGGAGCCTGAGTTTTGCCACAGTTGGCTGTGGTGGAGTTTCAGTGCTGACAAGGCTTGTGACATCCCTGTGAACCTCAGGGATGACCTTCTTCTCCTTTTCCTCCTTTGGCATCAGCTCCTGTCACTTGTCCTTTGGGTGGCAGCAGGACTGAGGTGTCCCAGCTGTGAGCCAGGACCCTCACCCAGACAAACACCAACTGGAGTCAGTTGGTTCTCCCCCAGAAGGGTTTGTGTGCCCAGGTTTCTGCTGGCAGCTCCAGCCTGGGTCACTTGGGGCTGCTTTGCTGGCAGAAGTTGACTTTGAAATGAAGCTCTTGGATGGAGCAGCTCCCTCCAATCCAGCTGCACTTGGTGATACTTTAATGAGGAGGTGTCATCTCCTAAATAATGAGTGGAGAGGTTCACCTGGGTGAACAGGACTTCTCTGAGCTCTCATGGGTGCTCTGCCCAGCAGGGAAAATGAACCGGAAACTTGTGGGTCACTCTCAGCCTCAGAGAATCCTGCCCCTCCTTTGTCACTAACATGAAGTTACTATTTCTGTGACCTGCAAGTGGATGGTGGACACATCCATGGGCTTGTTTCCAGAGCTGCACTTCCCCTGGTTGGGCCCCCAGGAGTCCTGCTTTCCCAAAGCCTGGGAAATTGCCACCAGTGGGTGGCAGCTGTGTTCCCAGCCCGGGGTGCCAGCGGCTTTGGGGCTGGCTCCTTGGACTGCCCTGCCCTGAGGGTCTCCCTGGGCTGCCCTGAGGGTTCCCTGGGCTGCCCTGAGGGTTCCCTCCTGCCTTGCAGATGAGGAATGAGTTCACCATCACTCACACCATCATCCCCAAGCAGCATGGGGGCCCTGACTACTGCAACACAGAGAGTGAGGAGGAGCTGTTTGTGATCCAGGACCAGCACGGCCTGGTGACCCTGGGCTGGATCCATGTGAGTCTCCTGTGGCACCTCCCAGCTGGCCCTGTGCTCAGCCTGGAGGGAGGGGGGAAGGTGGGGAGACCTTCCTTACTGGGGGGGAGAACTCTGCTTACTGGGAGGAGAACTCGGCTTATTAGAGGGAGCAGAACAACTCAGCTTACTGGTAGGAGAGCTTGGCTAACTGGGGGAGAACTCAGCAGACTGGGGGAGAACTCTGCTTACTGTGAGGGGAGAACTCAGCTTAATGGGGGAAAACTTCAGCTTACTGGGGGGAGAACTCAGATTACTGGGGAGAGAACTCTGCTTACTGCAGGGGGAGAGCTTCCTTACTGGAGGGGAATTTAGCTTACTGGGGGAAGAATTCCCTTACTGGGGGAGAACTCAGCTTACTGGGGGAAAAACAGACTTCCTGGGGTAGATGTCAGGGCCGCATCCTCTGGTTTGGACTGACCCTCTGGGCCAGTCTCAGCCACCACTGGTGCTACTGGGAAGATCCAGGCCTGTGTGAAGTTTGGGAAGTTTCCCTTCCTGAAGGACCAGGCCCTTCCCAAATGGGATGTTGGGTTCATGTTTCATCCCACTACAAATTGGCTCCAGAGGCACTGTGGGGACATCCTGAGCTCCCTGTCACTGGAGGGGTGATGTTCCCTCACAGCTCCTTGCTGCCCTGGGGTGATGGGATGTGCCAGGTCCAGGTCCCTCCTCTGCCTTCAGCCCTGCCCTGGTGCTTTTCCCCACGGAGCCCTTGGCCCTTGGACACGTGCCAAGCAAAACATTTGGGGCTGCTCCGTAACCTCTGGAAAGCAGCAGATGCCTCCAGGCTTGGACAAAGAAATGCTCCCTGTGCCTGGTGGCTGCTTGGGGTGTTAACTCCTCAGTGACAGCTCTTGTGACACCTTCAAGAAGCCCTAGGGACCTTCCTGTGGGTCTTGGCAAAGCAAACCTGAGAAGGAGCTTTCAGGAGGATTTAGGCTGTGAAATCTGGAGCTGGGTAAGGTGGTGGTTGTCTGTGGTCACACCACCCATGGTGGAGTGTGATGTCTTGTGCCCTGGCAGTAACAAGTCACCAGTGGTGTCCCCAGGGCTCAGCAGTGGGGCTAGTTCTGTTTAATAACTTCATCAGTGAACTGGACAAGTGGGTCAAGTGCAGCCTGGGTCAGTTTGCAGAGGACACCAAGTTGGGTGGGAGTGTTGATCTGCCTGTGGGTAGGAAGGCTCTGCAGAGGGACCTGGACAGGCTGGATCCATGGGTTGAGGCTCTGCAGAGGCACCTGGACAGGCTGGATCCATGAGCCAAGGCCAACTGCATGAAGTCCAACCAGGTTCAGTGCTGGGTCCTGCACTTGGGTCACATCAACCCCAGGCAACACTCCAGGCCTGGGGAGGAAAGGCTGGAAAGCTGCCCAGCAGAGGGACCTGGGGGTGCTGGTGGGCAGGGGGCTGGACATGAGCCAGTGTGTGCCCAGATGGCCAAGAAGGCCACCACCATCCTGGCCTGCATCAGGAATAGTGTGGCCAGCAGGACCAGGGCAAGGATGATTCCCCTGTGCTGGTCAATGGTGAGGGGGCACCTTGAATCCTGGGGTCAGATTTGGGTCAGAGAAGAGACACTGAGGTGCTGGAGCGTATGCAGGGAAGGGCAATGGAGCTGGGAGAGGGTCTGGAGCACAAGGAGAAGGGTCTGGAGAACTTCTGAGGCACCTGGATGTGTTCATCATGGAGAGAATGAGGCTGAGGGGAGACCTTCTGCTCTGCAACTGCCTGAGAGGAGGTTGGAGCCAGGGGGGTCGGGCTCTGCTCCCCAGGAAAAAGTGATGGGACAAGAGGAAACGGCCTCAAGTTGCCCAGGGGGGTTTAGGTTGGATCTTGGGAACAGTTTCTCCATGGAAAGGGTTGTCAGGCCCTGGCCCAGGCTGCCCAGGGGAGGGGGGGTCCCCATCCCTGGAGGGGTTTCCAAGCCCTGGAGATGGTGCTGAGGGACACGGGTTGGCACTGGACTCAGTAGATTGGTTAAATGGTTGGATACAATGATCTTCAAGGTGGAAGCACATCCTCTGTGCCATCTGAGGAGCCATGTCTCCATTCCAACCTTCTCTTTGGACTCCTCCAACCCTTCTGTACCTTCCCCTCTTCCAGACTCATCCCACCCAGACAGCCTTCCTCTCCAGCGTGGACCTGCACACCCACTGCTCCTACCAGATGATGTTGCCAGAATCCATTGCCATCGTGTGCTCTCCAAAATACCAGGAGTAAGTAGGGAGGTGGGTTTGGGAAGACTTTTCCCTCTGCCTGTGCTGCCAAAAAAAACCCCCAACTTTTGGTGGGGCAGGAGGTCAAACCTCTTCAGAATGTGTTGCAGGGCTGTTGACCAAGACTCTTCCTGCTTCGGATTCCTGATGTGGGAATAAAATGTCAGGTTTTCAGACACAGGAGAAGCTCCTTCTCTTGGCAGAGCCTGGAGCTCCTCTGACCTTGTGTTGGTTTCCTCTAGGACGGGGTTTTTCAGGCTGACAGAGCATGGCCTGGAGGAGATCTCTTCCTGCCGGCAGAAAGGTTTCCACCCACACTCCAAAGACCCTCCTCTCTTCACTGTAAGTCACCCCACCAGGTGCTGGGTCCAGCAGGGCCTTGTCTTCTCCTAGAGTTGAGGTTGCAAAATCTTCCTGACTTGTTAGGATGTGTTGGAGCAAACTTTCTGAGCAAAAATCAGTCAAGGTGGTGGAAAAGTGATTTGTGTGGAACCAGGCAGGGCTGAGGGATGAAGGGCAGAGGAGGGAGGAGTTACCTGGACAAGAGGAACTGGGCTCAAGTTGCACCAGGGGAGGTTTAGATTAGATATTAGAAGAAACCTCTTCATTGAAAGGGTCAGTAGACACTGGCACAGGCTGCCCAGGGAGGTGGTGGAATCACCATCCCTGGAGGTGTTTAAAAGACGTAGAGATGTGGTGCTGAGGGACGTGGTTTAAGGCCTGGACTTGGTAGAGTTGGGTTATGGTTGGTAGAGTTGGGTTATCATAGAATCATGGAATGGTTTGGGTTGGAAGGGATCTTAACATCATACAGATCCAACCCCCTGCATGGGCAGGGACACCTCCCACCAGCCCAGGCTGCTCCAAGCCCCATCCAACCTGCCCTTCAACACCCCCAGGGATGGGGCAGCCACAGCTGCCCTGCCCAACCTGGGCCAGGCTCTCACCACCCTCACAACAAAGAATTCCCTCCTCATCTCCAAC